CATCAATATATTTAGATATAATAGATATCATGCATTCCATAAAAATAGCATGATCATATCACATATTCCATAGGGATATGTCAAACATTATCAAGTAAATAAACACTACCAAAAATTTTAAACAAGATAAGGTCAATGTTTACCATCTATTCAAATTGACCATATCCCTTTTAAAGCATACTTATCATATTACAAAATATGTCATGGCCGCTATATCCTTTCCAAGATTTGACCACATGCCTCAAATCAAAAATATCATAATCGTAAAGACCTTGATCACAAAGAAACAAGAGGAATCCAAAGGGTGGGGCTTGCCACCCCTTTGTGGCACATGTGGCCCCCACCCACATGCCACATGGTGGGTCCATGTGCACTTTGGGCCCCCATGAAATTTTATAAAAAAATTTTAAAATTAAATAAAATGAATTAATATATATTTGAATTTTTACAACTTTGTAAAATCAATAACTGTAGTTTTATAAATCCAAAAATCATAATTAAAATATTGAGAGATTTATAAAAATTAAAATAATGAAACTAAAATCATTTTAATAATAAAATAAACACAATTAAATTAATATGGTGGGAAAATGATCCATATGGTTTTAGGAATTCAATATGTAATAATGGGGTACTCCACCTTCAACTGTGGACTACAGATCATAGTAGCTTTATCCAATCGACCTAGTGTTTTTCATGACCCACAGTCCAAGTAGTGGCTCATTAGCGGGTCACCAAAGTTAGGTCGATGAATCAAGGGGTCGCAATCTCAGTCTGTGGATTACAGGTCCTCCCCTAAAGACGAATCAATGTCACTATGACCTGATGCGACCACAACTCTATGGTGCATAGGGGTATCTTTCGCACATGCATACGCTTCACCCAAAGGTGGACATCTGACTTTCCCGAACAATCTATCAATATGCATGCCGTGCGATGAAACATAGATGAAGGTTTGGCCCCTGTCTCAGTAGGCCTACCATCACACACAAGGGTTACGCAATCCCTCGGCTCTCTCATCTAGGCATAATCTCCAATCTCATCAAGGGCTAACCTAAAACCCTCCTCGGTTAATTCTTTATGCCTAGGTACGTTGGGTTTTACAACCGACTGACCTAGATAGATAAGCACAGTCCGAAATAAGCAAACATCATTAGCTTAATATGGTTCTCGAGGGACCACACTCCCATTGAATTTATGTTTCACTATAATAAAAATATTTCAATACATATTAATAAGCCCGTTAAAGGCCACATAAACCCAATAGGACATACAACATGGTTTCACTTTAATATATGTGATAAGGGAAACACTTAAAAATGCATAGTGAGATTTTAGAGTATTTTGTTAAGCTTCTTTACCGTCCAAGTTTTATTTGATAGCCGGATAGCCATGGTTGTTGATAGTGACTTTTTTATAATATTGATTAGGTTCACTTTAGATTTTGACCATACATCTAGCTGCTATGCACCCATAAAAGTATAAAAAATAATTATTAAAATAGTAAACAACCAAATTACCCTTAAAAATATTTTTAATGGATATTTTGCTTAGTTTTATTATTTGAGTTATTTATTTATTTTATATTTTTATTGGTGTGGCTCGCTGAGATGCACACGCCACAAAATTGACGTGAATCTGTTTTATAAAAAATATAAAAATTTAAACATTATAAGTGACCTGTCTAATGGAATTTGGCTTATGATGAGCCATGAATAAAGTATTTTAGAAATTAATTTCCAGTTGATGGAATTGTGGCAAAAATTAAGGGAAATTTACCAGATCATCCATTGAACACCTTACACCGCTCTCAGAATACCCATGAAAAATACATGATATAGAGTTGAAATAATTGAAAATGTATAGAAATAATTCATCTTGTATAGATATTTTGATAATTTTTCCTAAAATTAAATGGACGTGGGTTTCTCGTAGTTTTTGTAGTTTTAGAGAAGGCTCAATGAAAATGTCAGATATTTCCATTGCATTGTCTTGAGGTGACTGTAAATTTCTTGAACGACAAAATAAAAGAACTACGCAAATTTATCAGCATTTGACCAAATGAAAGGAAAAATAATCAGGATAGGAAACCTGCAATATAGAATACAAAAAGGTTAAACTAAGGCCACGGCCTTATGAAAAAAGCAAAGCCTCACTTCAAAACTCACCGGAACTTATAGTTCTAGTGTCGGAAAATCTTCATATCGATTGTCTCAACCTTGATCGTTATGGTTGTGAAATTATGATTTCAAGCAGGAAAACACAGTTTATATTGTAACACATTATCCAGATCGTTCATTTTCAAGTGTTTATGAATCCACAAGACAAGTATTATTTTTTGAGTCACAAATTTCATAATTGGTGGTGAAAATAGATTTAGGGCTTAAGATTTTTCCATGTCCTATGTGTTTTCCCGACAAATTTTGAGATGAGGCTTTGCCCTTTTTCCATAAGACCTAAGCTTTATAGACAAAATTTAAGGCGAGGCTTTGCCCTTTTTCTTAAGACCTACGCTTTATAGAAGCTTCATCTTTAGAAAGTGAACAACCTAATTGAAAATTGGGTGCCTACATGGTGGTTATTTTAACTCGATGATGTAAATTTGACACATTTTTTTAAGACAATGTCAATAAATGGCATAGCTCTTAAGATAATATCTAAATCTACACCTTTCAAGTAAAATAGACAGTATAGATTACTTCAATCTTACATCTACTAATAAGGTTGCTAATGTATCTATTCAAGTGCCGATGACGAAAATAGCAAGTGATAAGAGCACTCTTCTTAGCAAGGGTAGTAACCCCATACCTTATTCACCATCTTATGGTTTCCATTTTTATTGAGACCACATTAGTGACACCACCCAACTAACTCTTTCAAAAACCTAACTCCTAAACTATTTGAAAAAATGGGTACGGGTCTATCTTCCCCCAATGAAATACCAAAAAGAATAAAATAAATAAATAAATAAAAGCACTTTTCACGATCACAAATAATAAATAAGAAGTTTAACTTTAAACCTTTCAAACATATTACTTTTAAACCTTTCATCGTAATTATTTTAAACAATCTATTTTTAGCATTTGAAATGCTTTCTTTTTCTTTTCCCGAACTAATAACCCGAGTAGTCCTGCGAAATTTAGACGCAAGCACTAAGATGGATCCGAAGGGGACCATATTTTAAATTTTCATGCAACTACAAAGAAAAGATTAGGTGAGGCCAAATTTAATGCTTTCTCCTTTCAAAATATGTCTTAGGGATGGATTTTAGATAGAGTTTACAAGTTAATAATCTCAGTAGCCAAGATCATGAATCTAATAAATACTTAGAATTTAAAACTTTAAAATAGATTTAATTTAGATTAATGGAATTGCAAGGTCAAGAAACATCAAAAGACAAATTTTAAGACAATTTATTTTAAAATATTTTATTTTATTTATTTTTCAAATTTATTATTGATCGAAATTACTACCTTTTTAAGACACAAGATCCATTTTTAAAATGGATCGGTGCATCTCTGTGGAGCAGGAACTGGACTCTTACCACTCATCATTGAAAGCTACTCCAAGCATTAAGTAGATTTGCTCACCAACCATAGATTGGCCCCAGGAGACCATGCACCCTGTTTGTTGTCCAACTGCAAGTGCAAGTGCAGGGTAAAACTCTTTTTCTTTGCTGATTACTGGTGGCAGATATCACACGTCTTTTGTACTCCTTTCTTTCTATGGATGCTTGCTAACATCCCCCCTAGAAAGGGTTGTGTAGTGCTTGTATATGTAGCCTTTCGACATGTAAACTTTTGAAAACTTCAATAAAAATAGAACGGGGCTTGTTGTCTACTTATTTACCCAAAAAAAAAAAAATCCACTTTTAAAATTGATTTAAGAATGAAACCATGTAAATACATCAAAATCCCCCAGCTAGAAAAACCCCCTCTTTCACTCTCCATTTGTTCACCTGCCCAGCTCCGACCATTTTTCTTTATTTTCTTCTGGATTTTCTTTAGTTGGCTTGGGCCTGGTCCTAATTGTGGTAGGGTCAGGGCTTGGCCCAAGGGCTCTTCGCCCCAGTTGGGCTAGGCTTAGGCCAGCCCTATGGAGACCATGGCTGGATTATGGCCGAGGTTAGAGGTGGGAATTGACTAGGATCAATCAGTGGACCCGATTGGGTCCAGGTCTTGACTTGGGACCTGGACCCAACGGTTCAGGTTTGGTTCTAGTTGACCTTCACCCAACTGGATCCAGGTCCGAGTCTATGTCTAGGTCCAAGTTGGATTCTATTAGATCGGGTTGGGTCTGGGTCAAGGCCGACCCAATCGGACTCAAATATTTAGTATACATTACATATAAACAATGCACATTA